TGTTATATAGTTATATAGTTATATAGTGTTATATAGTTATATAGTTATATTTTTATATATATAGTTATATATATATATCCTCTTGGCCAATCCAAGACCTTTACCAGATACATTGTTTCCTATTAAATTTTGAAAAGTTCACTTGCACGCTCAAAAAAGACAGGACTTCTCCAGATGCTATCATGATTTCTATCAAATATGTTAAAATCCAATTCTGTATTACTTTGAGTGATCATGTGCACATGTCAAAGCAAGTAATGGTTAAGCATGATGCTTATGAGAAGCAACAAGCACCTGCACACTCTCTGCCTTTACCCCCCTCTGCATTACTGGAAGCGAGTCAGAAGTGTTTGATTTCCACTAATAGCATCATCTGGAGGGAAAATCTGTTGTTAATATTATGGCTTGATTCAAATAATGTTCAGACATTTTTTAAATGTTGTTAAAACCACTAAGGATGTTGAACCATTATTTATTTAATTTTTACCACATTAAACTCCTCAATCTGAGGATGACTCACATAAAATCACAAAATGCATAAAAGCAAACAAATAAACTAACTGGTATAATAAAAACCATAATTATTGGTCTGGGAAACAGCAAATTAATAGTTGGGGGAAAAAGCAAAATAATTGGTATACACAAAGATACCCAAATTTTTGTCTGGTGTGTCATAACTTTCCTTAGTAGGCAAATTCATTTGTTAAGGCAAAATGTTTAATAGTCAAGTTATTAAAACAACAAGTAGCAATAAAATATCAATACAAAAACAGAAACCACATCCTCTTTGATGATTCTTTTACTCCAGGTTGTAAGTTTCTACCCTTAACTAGATAAATAAAACAATCCAAAGCTCACCTTGCAGTGGCACTCTCCATTAGTTTTGTTGCAGTCGGGGTCAAATCCTTTATCAACATCACAGTTGCAGGGGCCACATATAGGATGCCCCCACCATCCCCGTGGACAGGGCTGGGCTAACCTAACAATGAAAACATGAGGCCTGTTGGAAGCATCTTTCAAATACAGTAGAAGAGTATAGTAACTTCTTCATTACAAATTGCCTTTTCGAAAATCTTCCATTTCTTTGCACATGGAGGCTGTCATAATTTACAAGCTTTCAGTAAAGGGACAATAACTAAAGAGATGCTGGGATGTTTTATTTTGGATTTCCACAAGTTTGCTATATTGATGTGTATGGTAAATCACATTATATGAACTAATCTCCTTGGTTGGCATGCACATATACATCAATCACAGTATGTTAATTATGTACAGCATGTACACTGTATATGCAAGCCAATGTCACTACATTCATGCCTCTCCCATACCTGAATGAATGTTACACACTTTTAGGATGACCTTTTATTTGCACATAGCCAGATGCAAATGCCTAAGATATTAATAAATATCTACAATATGCATCCAGCACTTCTACATTTCAGTTCTACAAATACTGAAAAGTACCAACACACACTTACGGGCACATCACAACAAATGTAAGTGAACTTTCTCAGACTCACTTGTTCTCGCAGTATGGCCCAAAGTAGCTGTCAGGACACTCACAGGTGTAGCCATGGGATGAGCTGGGTTTGCGGACACAAATGGCTTGATGCTCACAGGGGTTAAAGGAACAGACATTGGCACAGCTGTCTCCATAGTAACCTGGGCATCATAGGAAGAATTCTGGGTATAACTCTGGCAATAATCTCCAACCTGAGAGCAAATGATAGCCTGGCCAAGCAGGAGATTCCAGGATAATCATTCTCCAATCACAACTGAGCTAAAGGCTGCAGGTGGGAGGGGTGGCTTGAAAGATAGAAATGACCATGGCGCCTATCCTTGTCAACCACCTACTTTTTAATAAAACTTTTTAATAAAACAATGAAAACCTGAAACATGCTAATAATAAATTAAAAAATTAAAAAAATATGTATATGTATGTGTACAAATATGTATGTGTGTGTGTGTATGTACACACACACACACACACACATATATGTATATATACACAATCTCTAGCAAGAATATTGGCCTCTTGCCCAACCTCAGTCTTAAGTATTAAATAATGTAATAAAAATTGTTTATTTCTGGTAATTGTTATGTTTTGTATAGTATCCTAATCAAGTGTAATGCCTGTATTACTACTATGAATTATGCATATATAGTTCATGTTATTTCAATAATTATGCTAGGATAATAGTCTTTATTTTGCTGTATATTAGTTATTTAATTAAGGAAAGTGTCAAAAACAAACTACATAGGATTAAAGCAAACAGCACAGAAAGTCCATAATATATTGTACAAATGAACTACAGTAAGAAAGAACATTTAAAACACAGTAAATGTATAATGTATCTTTCCATCAGGACGAATCATAATAAATTATTGAAGCTTTGTATCACAGCTTTAATAGTATTATTTTAAGCTCTGACTCAGCTATTGTACAACTAAAAATAATGCTTTGAGTACAATGCAGATATTATTTACAACAGTTAAGCCCATTACATATCACACATGGCAAATACTTGATGCCCTCCAGATATGCTAGACTATAGCCACCTAAACCTTAGACAGCATTAGAACTGTTTTAGAGGATTTTAAATATATATATAAATACATTGAATGTATATGGCAGCCCATCTTGTGGTACGCAATACTAGGCTGCCTAAGAACCATAAAATGGAGTCTTCTTCTCCATTATAATCCCACTGTTCCTTCCACTGACCTGGATCACAACTGCAGGAATAACTATCCCAATCATCATTGCAGTAGCTATTGAGAGGACAAGGATTGGAGTCACAAGGGTCTGGGATACTGCAGCCATGCTCCACATTCACTTTCTCAGCCTGGTTTACATTCAAGGTGATAGCACTGCCTGACGTCTCCCCCATCCTTACACCCTGGCGGATCCAAGCCAAAAAAACAAAAAACAAAGGAGAAGATCAGCTCTTAGATACATAGATTATTCTTCTGCACATTCATTTCTTGCTTCTGGTTCTCAATGAACCTATGAACTCAGTGAACTATGAACTCAGAACCTTAGTGAAGACAATTTGCTGCCTATTTATACCAATCACTTTTTAGGAACCCAAAAGCAAACTATAAATATCTTCAAATAAATAAGCCAACTATGAGAACTGCAGCCCCTAGATGGTGCTGCATTGCTTAAAATAAATACAGTTGATACTTGACAGATCTGTACAAATACAGTTTGTTCCAGTATTCATTGAATTTAAGATGCTATATACTCAGTCCCTATTCATAAACAGGAAATACGGAGCCAGCATGACTATTAAGTGAGAAAAGTGAACACAAAATGCTATTATAGAATTGTGAATTGCATGCTACAGGTAGTCCTTGATTTACAACAGTTTGTTTAATGATCATTCAAAACTGAAAATTCACATTTACAACCATGGCAGCATCCCCATGGTCACGTGATCAAAATTCAGGCAATTGACTCATTTTTATGACAGCTGCAGTCTCTTGGGGTCATGTGATAACCTTTTGTGACCTTCTGACAAGCAAAGTCAATGGGGAAACCATATTCCCTTACCACCATGTTACTAACTTAACATATGCAATGATTCACTTAACAACTGGGGCAAGAAAGGTCATAAAATGGGGCAAAACTCAAATCTCTTCATTAGCAATAGAAATATTGGGCTCAATGGTGGTTGTAAGTCGAGGACTACCTGTATGTGTTGTTGCTCTTATTTAAGATCTGCATAATGTAGACATGACTTAGGACTTAGAAGCGTGCTTATGTCATTCAATTTTCAGCAAAATCAAGCTGGAGGATGAGACTCATTGGTACACAGCTCTGGTTCCTGAAGATTTCCAGACATAACAGCTTCTAATTTATTTATATGCATAGTTATACTGACACAGACACATACTCCACAACAATCTCTCCCAGTTACATAATTATTTAAGGATGTCAGTTACGTTATTTGCTTACGAGTGATGTGGTCTATAAATTGGGCCTACCTTTCCCGAAATATATGTCTGTATAAAAAGCACAGAAGAAAGAAAGGTTGAAAGAAGTGGTGGAGCCTGCGCCTGATGGGTCAACCATGGTATGGCCCATTGAACCAACAACATCCAGAAAGGGCCATCAAGGCTTCTTCTTCATCTACTCACCTGCATGCAACCACGGAATCCATGCTGCAGGTTTCCTTTCTCCCCCAGTATAGCACCGATACTCAAATTCCACATTTTTAGTCCACGAAGTTCACTACTAATATTGGCCATCACCTGGAGGATAGACAGGCAAAGCGAACATCATTTTTCCTTTATTTTTTGATGAGACCACAGTACTTATTTGTATAATAAGATCAGATGTTACAAACCATCAGGACAGTGGTGAAAGCCAAGAAGAGGTGGGCTGGAATAAATTATTAAGTTAGCTATAGATTGATACTGAAGAATTTTATAGAATTAATTAACTATAAATCAAATCTATAGAAAAAGAGCATAAGGGTAGTCAAAGAGATTAGTGATAAAATGTATTAAACTATTAGGAATCAATTTAGATCCATCTCATTTAGATCAATCCCATACATAACTTTAGTTCCCCTGGACTAAATTATACTACAAGTGTTACATTCAAGCTTTAGGAAATATACAGAATGATGCTCCATAAATGCCAAATGATTCAGTCATTAGTTGACCATCAATATTAATTGAGTTCTAGTGCTCACTGTACCTGGTGCAAACCATAATCAAAAGCCATTATGGCTAACCACTGGGCTTCTGGATTGTCCCAGCTGCTATGCAGCTCCAATTGTAGGTGATGCCAGTCACCATCATTCACTTTCACCTGGTGTAGCCTCAATGCTGAAATTTGGATGTTGGCTCGGTACACGGTCATCAGCACTGTACCTTCATTTAACTGAGCAAAGAGATAAGAACAGAATGAGTTTAGATTTGAGCCACGTTTTTACTGCAGAAGGCACTATCCATCTCTGTCCATCAAATCCCCCCACCTGGAGTCTAGAAAGTACATAGTTCCATTCCTTTCCTTAAGAGGTACATGGAGACAATAACTCCCTTCGTGGTTTGCTGCCACTGCAACTGGAATGGAAGGCCTCTGGGAGAAAACTAGACCCTTCTCCACATTTTAAAATCCCCCACCAATCTTTTGAAACGGTACTCTAGAATATACATATTTTACCAATAAATGTTGGTGGGATATTTTTCAGAATGCTCGGAGGCTGCCGCTAGCCCATGGGCTGTAAGGTGCCCTATTGTGTTATAACATAAAGTGGTTTTCTCTAGGACACTAATCTGCAAGAGAATAGTAAAGTGTTGCCCACTCACCCAAAGTGTTATGGTAGAATGCTGCCCCGCTGCAGCACGGAGGAGGACACCGTTGCTCTGCCTGGTACGAAACATAAGTCCAATGTGCCAAGGAAGCGTGATGATCAATGCCAAATTACTCCAAATCACCATACTGTGGCCCAAGAAACGCTGAGGACTTGCCATTTCTTCACAGAGACAAAAAAGGAGTTCAACAAGTGTATAAAATATTGCATACCTGTGTGTGTGTGTGTGTGTGTGTGTGTGTGTGTTTGTGTGTGTTTTGGGTGAACTATTCTTATATACTGATAATATTTTTTAAAATAGTGTTCCTTCAGCATTTTGGGTTTAAAGCGTTCAATAATTACCCAAGTTCTAATCAATGATCTGATAGGGTTTTTTTTTAATTGCTTAAAAAGTAAGTCCCATATGGAGAAGCAGGAGAGAATTCTGTATTGTAGTCCTGCATTAGATAGGGGAGTTTGTGGGGGTCCATTCTTTCTCTCCCTTTTCTTGCTGTACAAATGGATATAGGAGGGACCATACCTTGCATAGGCTGGAGATACAAAATGAGTGTGTTTGAACCCATTCCAATAGAAGGGCCTTCTGGTAACTACAAGTTCATGTTCATATTATACTTTCTGGAAACTATTGGCTTGCCATTGCCTTCTACAGTGTTACATATTTGTACACATGTCACAAAAAGAGAGGGAAACATTTTAAATCCTTTCTGTAGTTTTGTTATATAAGATTCAAGAAGAGGTAAGATGGTTTACTCCATTTCTGCTGAATTGCTAGAGCCTACTATATTGGTTTCTTGATTGCTGAAAATGTGAGAACCAATCAACTCACTTTATAATTATCAACATTTCTAGTCATTAACGTTGACAATGAGGTGAGGACCCAATTACAAAAAATCCTAGGGGAAATGGATTATGCAGATCCCTTCTAGTCAGGATTCAGGCTCAGGCATGGAAAAGAAATGATGCTTCTTCCTTAAAAGATGAGCTATTTTGAAAACCTGGATGGGGGGGGGAATGCATTCTTCTTGGCTCTACTAAATCTTTCAGTGGCATTCAACAATATAAAGCATTGTACTCTTTTGGTCTGCTTGCAAGGGCTAGAGTTTCACTCCTATCTAAGCAAATGGTTTTAGTGGACTGTTATAAAGGCATAGTATTCAAACCCATGGTTGCTCTAATGTGTGGTACCCCTGAGCCTTGTGCTATCCCTGTATTATTTAACATTTATATGAAAACTTGGGAGAGGTCATCCATTGGCTTAGGTGGGGTGTCACCCACCTGTGCTTTACAATCAGTTATATGCCACCCTACATATTCCATGGAAGTCTTGAATCTGAGCTACTAAGCCCTGGATGGAGCAAGACACACTCAGATTAAGCATTAGCTAATGGAGTTTTATGTTAATAACTACCTAGACATTATGGAAACATTGATCCCAAGGTTTATTTTTAATGGGGTTTTTCTCCCTCCCAAATAGATGGTTTATGATTAGGGATCCTTCTGAACTTGTGGTTCCTGTTCAAATAAGAGGCAGAAGCCATGGTCAAAGATTTGACCATGCCTAGCTCTGTCTAGTATCCTAGTTGCAATCCTACCTTGATCAGGATATCCTTAGAATGGAACCACAATGATCACCACTTGCATTCTATGCTCCCAGTTCGGGTTGGATCGGGCGAACCAGTAGTAGCGGTGGCAGGAGGCTCCACCCACCTGCCTGAGGTGCCCAAACTGGTAGTAAAAAAATTGGTAACCCACCACTTTTCTGGAACCACATGTGGTTCTTTCATCCCTCTGCTGCAGCTCCCCGTCGCCAGTTGGCTCCACAACTTGATAGGGCTTTCGGTTAGGACAGGTAGAGGAAAAAGTACACCATACTCACACTAGGAAGAGACTCTACGGTTGGGGAACCAGACTTCTGGTCGCCTCCAGAATTGAACGGGGGGCTTTCAGTTAGGACCTTTGTGGCTCTTTGAATGTTTAATGTTGCTGATCTCTGCACAAGGTACTTAAAAGACCATTTCATTCCATTGTGGTGCTGTTCTGAGATGTTTTTTTACTCCTTGTTATAACCAACCAGACATATGGGAGCTACCTTCATAAATAAGGGCTTGAACCACTGCTTCTCTATCCCTGTCATTTTTGCTAATTTATGCCTAGCTGATATAACCTCTTTAGAAGAAAGAGTATTTAAGAGGGGGGGAGAGAGAGGGGAGAGAAAGATCCATCCATGAATTTCTAGGACATTAGCATTCCCATCTTTTCTTCTATTTCTTCTAATAATTAGAATAGTATATTTTCTGTTTCCTTGGAGCTAGGAAAGATGTGACTTCCTGATATAGTTCCTGGCAATTAGCACACATGTCATTCCTAAAAAGCACCTTCTTTAGCAGCTTCTATCTTTTACCTTGTTTGCAGTCCTTGCCTCCAAACCCCAGGGGACATTCACAGGTGAAAGTATTCCACTGGTTGACACAAGTTCCACCATTATGGCATGTGTTGGTATCACAAAAATTCTTCTTGGCACAGCAGCCTGAAAGGAGAATGTAAGAATGCACTGGGAAGGATAGTAATAGAAGCTTCTCCAGGGATTACAAAAGCTTTTGCTGAATTTGCTACTGAGTAATGAGGAGCTAAGTCATGATTGAAAGTCATTCCTATGGATGTGTTATACTGCAGACAGTGGCTAGGGCCTGCTGAGGTGTTCTCAATAGGTGGTTGTCTGTTTGCCAATTTCCATCCACAGAAACCCCAACCATTTGCTTACACTTTCAATTTCCCCCTAAATTCATCATACCAGGCAAAGTTCCATTATTTGCAATGAAGTCAGCCAGGTCTACATCTTGATTATCAATCAGGAAGTCTCTCATGCAACCTATAAAATGCCGGTTCCGTACTGGGAAACTCTCAGGAAGGTCAGGAATGCCACCCAGTAACAAGGGACCTGTCAAATCCAAGGATCTGTAAAGTCAAATTAGAGTTATTCAAGAGTTATTCATGATCAAGGGGGGAAAAAATCTGCTTGCAAAAATTGTTCTGACCTAAACAGATATTAAGCTGTCATCAGTCACGCATTATATTAAAAGAGTAGACTTGTGACCTCAGAGTCATTACGAATCTAATTTATAATAGAGGTTTACAGTAGAAGTTTGAGATTTTAGCAACTCATAATGTACTGTATATAAAAGTGCAGCAGCAGAAGATAGCAGGGAAGACTAAGGAGTAGATCATCACCATCTGAAATGTCCTGCCCTGAATATAGTCTTCACTTCTCAGAATTTTCAGCAATAGCCAAATTGACTGGGGTATTTGGGAGTTGAGGTCTGTTCATACATCCAGAAAGCACTCGGGTTAAGGAAGATTAACGTAACAGCCAAATAGTATTTAGAAAATAGAAATAATGCATTTTGGAACATGCAGTAGTATTAGTTCTCATGATGGTTACAGGCTTATGTACTCTATAGGCATCCATGCAACATGTCAAACTACTAGCTTCCTATCTCCATGAATATCAGCACATTAAAGCAGATGACCAATAAAATCTATAGTACTTCACAGTCTCATATAGGGTAAAGTTGAGCCAGGGAAATTAATAAAGTTAATTATAGCCCCACGGCTTATTTTTCTCACAGCCATTTCCCCACTGAATAACTCCCGTAAAGTCAATCTGCTTTCACCCATCTCTATTCAGTACTTATGATTACAAGCTCATCAGGTATATTTAATAGTGCTTGTAAAATTCTCACTTCTTTGTGCCTGATTGTGTCCCTTGAGCTGAACAGGAATAGTTTCCTAGAATAGAGCCAAATTTCAAGGCCACTGAAGTGTCACAGTCATCTACTGTCACCACAGCTACTTTCTCATCTGAAGGCCCCTGTGGAATTCCAGACGTCCCCACGACAGGCTGTGAAAAGAAAGCAGAATTCTGTTATAAAACTTCAGGCCAGCCAATTAATGGTTACGACAGAGAATATTGATAGGGAGGCACAGAATACTGACCAAAACCTACTGAAAAATGCAAATGCTCTCATATGGCTGCTCCCAAATTAGGATGAATTTAGTAAAAAGGCCCATTTCTAATTTGCACTTTGCATACTCTCTTTACACCCCTCTCCAGTTGACTCCAGATGCACCATCCCCATGATAAATTGGCTTCTTTGAAGGTTTTTTTTAAATTCCACTCTTGTTTGTCTGAACCTGGAGCAAAGTTAGCTTTTTTCCTGTGAAATGATAGGGCCTATGAACAATTTCTACTGACTTTGCTCTTCTTCAACATCACCTGTCAGCTCCTGGCCACAATTAAGTATTTCTCAGCATCCATTTCCTTAACTATTCTAAGAAAGGAATTTAAACAAGCCTATCAGGCAACTCAATCTAAATCCTTCTGTTCACTTCCCAGTCAATGCCACAAAATGGGGGGGCGAGCAGCTTTCCTCTGCTTGTATAACTTTTAAAGGAGTTCTTAACACTTGTAGTCAGTTTCAAAATTCCTGGCTAGGTTTCCTGTTTAAATAAACAACATGAATGGAACTGAAGTGAGCCCTTAGTCTCTCTCCCATCAAACACATGAAAACCCACAAACATACCTGTAGAAGGTGTAAACCGCAAATCACAACTAGGGTTGGCTCTATTATGACAAATATCAAGTTGCAAAGATGCCACCATGCCACCAGTAGTTATGTGTATAATGAAGAGTCTGTTTCCCCGAAATAGCTGGAAGATACTCTCCCACAAAATGTAATTACAGAAATAGGCAAAGCATCACTGAGTGGATTGCACAGACCCATTCAATAGAGAGAAAAGGGAGAAATGGAAAATTTAAGGGAAAACCACAACGTAGCATAACAAACCATTCTATTTTGTATATATATCAACTTTTAGCAGCACACCTAGAAGGAACAGTGTCCTGACAGTCTAATTTCATTCCTTCCAAAGGAGTTATGTTTACTGCAAATGGTCAAATGCACCCAAAACATATATCCCCAAAAAGAAAAGTGGGTGCAAGCACTTTCTTTCCATTTTCTTTTGTGTTGCATAAGGTTGAGAATTTTATTCTGCTAAGGGACAGGATGCTATTTAATCCCAGTTTTCATACTGGAGGCAGAATGAATGCCTCATGGTGTTCCCTGGCTGTTTCCTGAATTTCAAGGCCAGCAGAAGTGAACATGGTTGTGGTTGGCTTCAAACTGGATTTTCAGACATTTGGGAGTGGAAACAGATTGAAATTTATGTGATGTGAAAGAGTCCTTCGTATATCTCAGAAATACTTGCAGGTTCAGTTAGATGGCACGGTTGTGCTTCTCAGGAAAAAGAAAACATGCAGAATGCCTCTATTAGCTGTGATGCTAGAAATCAGAAGAAAACAGCTATGTTGGCAGCTTAATGCCAATGGCCAAACACTTTCAGAACACGTTTGCAGTTTTGATACTTAAAAATCAACAAAGCGGTAAATGGGTGGAATTTTTTCCCTGTTGCTTCACCAAAGGTATTTATTTATGAAGCAGTGATTCTGATATGCACTAGCAATGATAAAGGCAGAACTAGGAGCTGAAACCTATTCTGATGAATGAGGTTATGACCCAAGATGAATGCATTCTTTATGTTTGCCTGGAGAGAATTTAATGATCTAATCTTTAGAAATAGATCCGACTGACTAATACAATGTTTTATCCTTGACTATCAGCAGGTAAAGTTTCAACTAGTTCTATCAGAATCGGTAAGACCTCTCTCTCTTCTCTCAAAAATGAAAACAGCAATTTTCATGATGACAAATACTGTCCAACTATCTGGAAATGCATGGACCTCAAACGTATGACTTCTGTAAGTAAAGCATCAAGCAGGCATCACAAAAAAGGTGAGCTTTTTCAGATTATAGGGCTATGATGGATTTTTTTTAAACAATATATGTTGGGACAAAACTGATTTAGAGAAATATCAAAGTTATTACCGTATTTTTCAGAGTATAAGATGCACCTTTTTCCCTCAAAAAAGAGGCTGAAAATCTGGGTGCGTCTTATACACTGAATACAGCAATTTTTGCCTCCTGAAGCCTCCGCCCCTTTCACCAAAATGGCCGTGCAGAGCCTTATGGAGGGTTTCAGAGAGCTCCTGGGGGTTGGGGAGGACAGAAATGACTCCCCCCCCAGCCCCCAGCAGCACTCCATAAGCCTATGCATGCAATTTGTTTGACAAAAAACGGGCCCGTTTTCACAAAAAATGGATTGTTTT